CGGAGCTTGATTTAAATGCCCGAGGTTGCAAGTCCAGTTTGAAGATGGGACTTCTAAGTGATAGATAGAATCTTAGTGCCCACTTTGTTGTCAAGAGCTTACACGGCTTGAACGCCTCAGGTTCCAAGTGCGACGCTATATACATATATCTTTCAGTCCGACGCTATATACATATATATATATATATATGTGTGTGTGTTGTATTCTGCGTGTACATTTGTATGTATATATATATATATGTGTGTGTGTGTGTGGGTTGTATTCTGCGTCTACATTTGTAGAAAGAGCATAGACTTGGTCATATATTGGCATCAGCATACTCTGTAATTTGGACCTTTTGGAGTTGAGCTTGCATGTTGGGATTTGGTTCTTCATCGCGCGGCATGGTGAAAAGGGCACCGCAAGTTGAGGGTGGAACAAACTATGTAAAAGAAGAAGGAAGAAGGTAGTTGCTGGCAAGACTGAGAATTCATAGGCCATGCATTTGCACCTAAGAATGGGAGCTTCACTTGTTTCTGGCATCAAAAACTCTCAGACTGCTCTGGCAGCGCCTCGGACCAAACCCCATGGATTGTGCTAGCGTCAACAGCATGGATTTGGAGAGATCCCCCCGAAAACTGCGGAAATCCTCAGCAAGAAGAGCACATGGCAACGGAGAGATCTGAAAACTGTCACTGTCAACTGCAGGAAAGTCGGAGTCGCCCAAGCCAGAGTCAATTTGGTCCAAACAAAGAAAAGCAGGAACCGCACGAACCGACGCGGATCCATCTTCACCTCCTCCCCGGAGACCGCCATCGGGATGGTCACCGCCTCGAGTCGTTCGTTCGACACGGGCACGGGGGAAGAGGAGAGGGGAGAGAGAGAGAGAGGGGGGGGGGGGGGGAGGGGCCCCAAAGAGCAGCAGAGCAGCTTCTTTCTGGTGGAAGCTTCTCCCCCCGCTTTGGGGCCTCATCCAGAAGTGCTTCAGCATCCGCGGGGATTCCATCGTGCTCACGGCCGAAGATCAAGGCCAGTCCTCGGCGGAGGTCGAGCACTGCGTTCAAAGCCAGCAGTCACTAGACCGTATCCATAAAGCAGCTCGTCACAAACAGAATGGTCGGCGGGTCTACAATCAAGATTGGGTGTGAAGGTCCAGTTGATTGACCAAAACCCACATCAGACAAAAACAGGATCCTGGCCATCAGCCGTCTATCTGTCGGACGGACGGGATGATGAAGACCCGATGGGGATCAGCATCGATCAATGATAAATATCCCCCTTCCAAGTTCTGCTACACGTCAAATTCACCAAATGTTTGTTCTTGCAGACTTGGGGTGCTCCTAAAGCACCCAGAGCAATTGGTAAATGAACACCCACCCCTTTTGTTTTTCGTGTGAGTGTTTAAACAAATTCATATTCTCACTGAGAGCATCCACTAGCTGTTCCATCAAGATTCTCCCGAAACCTATGTTCGTTCTGACCGAGACTTGCTTTAGCCCACAAGCCCGTCCTGGTGCTGCCAGGGGGACATCCCAAAGAGCTTTGATATCTGTACCTTGGCTCATCATCCTGAGACCCTCTTGAGATCCGATGTTCCTGTTGAGATCCGGTGCAAAAGGTTTGTGCAAGGGAATTTGCTCATAATCTTAGACTGGACACACTGACCATCATGATGTTCTCTCACAAGCATCGAGCGCACCCCACGCCAAACATCAAAATGGTCCATGGATGCTCCGAAGATGCCAATGACAATGGTCACGGTCAGTGCCCTCCCCCTTTCAAGCCAAACTAACCAAGCGGAAGGGGCCGACGAAACCATAGATTTTGTCTACTCCTAAAATGTATGGAGGATTTGACATGATGATCTGTTGCTCCGAAAGAAATTGCCTTGAGCAAGGTCTCACAGGTCTCAAGAGCTTTGGGCTCCCAGGTCTCAGCACCCTCCTGAACACGCGGTCGTTGAACTCCTCGACTTCGAATCGATCGAAAAAACAAGGTTCCAAGGGACCGTTGTCGTGGGCGGTCAAACCCACCAGCCGGTAGCCGGCACGTTGCAAGTGGCTGAGGACCTTGAAAACACGAGGGTTGCGCCAGAGGTTGTGGGGTAGGCCCCATGATCAGTCGAAAAGGAGTTGACTACCATAGTTGATACGGAGGTGGTCTATGTTTCCAACCGATAAATGCGTGCTTTTCCTTCTGCAAATGCTTCATAATATCAATCTGCCTGTCCACTGATCCATGGATCCAAAATCTCCGTTCTTGCTTGCACTGACAACAGCAAGTCCACTTCCTGCAATTCACATCTAAGCATCCAAACCCCAAACACTCCCGAGGCCCAGTGGAAAGACTTTAGGCATCGAAGTCCCAGACATCAGTCGATATGCAAATCCTTTACACCAAAATACGATGGGTGCATGAAAATCTGCACCAAGAAAGGACCCTGTTGTTTTCACATCGAAACAGATCAGCACCTGGCCTCTTTGGCCTCCATCGTCGGAGGCGCCACCAGCACGCAGCGATGGGCACCGGCGCCTCCGCGGTCGGTGCCGCGTCTTCTGGTGGAGGTCGGTAGGTCTGTACATGGATGCTGGTGAGCTTCCATCTGCTACATGGATGTCTCTGAGTGTGGGAGTGAATGCTGTGGATATCTTTGGGTGTTCGGTGGTCAGCCCGGCATCTTGTAGCTTCCGGTTCGGGTAAGGGATCAAAATAAAAATAAAAATAGAATCAAAAAAATATATTCAACGGGGATCAATAAAAAAATAAAAAGGTAATCAAAAAATAATATTCTAGCCCACTGAGGATGGTTGGGGTAGTAGTAGTAGTAGCAGTAGCAGTAGCAGTAGCAGTAGCAGCAGCAGGGGATAAACGAATGATCAAAACAAACAATGCCCTCAAAACCATGGACATGCTATGATTGGCGTGTCTGCGCCAACAACACATTAGCAGACGAAGTCAACAGAAAAGAACAGGATCAAAACAATTACCTCACGATGCTAGACTACAATTTCTGTAAGACAGTTGTCTCTGAGTGGACCAATAGGAGACGAAGGGAAGAGGATGGAAGAGGTAGGGGACTAGGAGAGTGTACCTCCCCAGGAGCTCCCTCCTAGTAGGGAGCTATTTCCACTGGTGAACCATTTTTCGAGTAGTAGGGCTACTCAATGACTGGACGGCTACCTTATCGTTGGGTACCTACTTTCTTCCCAGGGAGCTGCCTCTAGTAGAAAGCAATCAAGCCTCTATTTGCGCAAGCAGGGGACCAGGAGATCGACAGACGAGCGCCGTAGGAGAGCAAAAGACCAGCGGACCAGGAGACAGAAGGACTAGGATACCAGGGGACCAGCGGACCACAGGACCAGAGGACCAGGAGACCGGAGGACTAGGGGACCAGTGGACTAAAGGACCAAGGGACCAGGGGACCAAGGACCAGTGGACCAGAGGACCAAGGGACCACATTACCAGAGGACCCGCAGACCACAAGGCCACGAGAGCAGCAGAAGAGGCCTATCAAGGAATATATGTTTTTTGCTTCGCTTTTTTTTATTGTTTATCCTGTGTTTTTTTTGATGCTCTTTTTTTTTGATACCTATGCCTTCCGGTTCTACATTCCACCAAAAGTACCCACGAGAAGAAAGCCAATATCTGTAGCAAGTGCACGTAGACCAGTTTGACAAGCGCAGCCGAGAAGTCTTTCATCTGAGAAATCCAACTGTGGGTACCAGGTACCTGTACCCATCCCCAAAGTCATGTCAAAATGGTCTTTCAGATCCTCCAGTTCAGCACTCTTTGACGGACGAGCGGTTTCATCGCCTGAAGAATCGGTTTCACCGCTCGGTCGCATTGGCCGCTCCGAGCAGTCCAACGAATGGAAGGGCGACGTCAAACACTGTGAACAGATCGCGTGGACCACCCGACACATATTTCTTTCCCTCCCCAAACATATGCCAAATAAGGGATCCCTCATAATGGCCGAATGTAAGACCCCGGCTCTGACCATCGGCTAGAAGTAGGTGGAGAATCCCAGTTTCCAGCCCACCATTTTCAAAAAAGTTTCTTCGGCCCACCTTCCAGCCCAGAGAGCTGGATGGCCTGGCAAGACGCGAGATAGATGGACCTTCTCAAGATCTTCGAAAACACTTGGAGTCCATCTCCTCGGGAATTTTCTCCTCCCCATCTGCTCGCGTCGCCCGCGGGGCCGCGCCAGTCGGCAGTCGGAGGCCTTCTGGGCCTTGCCAAGGGTCAGCCCCACGGACACCAGGGCTCCAATGCCCAGAAGGCTACAAAGGCAGAAGGTAGCACCAACCTCGACCACTCAAGGGATTGAAAGAAGAAGGTGGAATCACTGACCGGGCCCCCAAAGAAGGAGAGTGGATGCAAAAATGAAACAAAGAAAACACGGATTCCCCAATATCCAATTTTGAGGTTTTCGTTCTGGAAGCTTATCATCAGTAGTGTTGCAAGGTTTGGAGTGTTTTCCTTCGTGCTGCTGGATGCTCTCTCTCTCTCTCTCTCGTAGCAGAAGCTGCTAGCCAGTTCTAGGTTCTGACCTCCTAGGAACACAACTTCTTTACGCACTGGCTATACAGCAGGCTCACCCAGGTGAGCAGGTCCCCCACCGGGCGCCCCCGACATTGCCCGGCCGCGCGCCGCACAGCACCAAGCAGGCTGGACAGGACCGCGGGCCGCGATCCAAGAAGCCTCGACCGGACGCGTTGGACGCGGGCGGAACGGCGCGTCCTGTCGACCCCACACTACCGGTCTCCATTGAACACCCACTGGAAGCGCTAGGAAGGAAGCTGGGCAAGTGTCAAATGTGCAGACCTTGATTCAATCCAAAGTCTGTTGGAGGAAAAGCCAAGCAACCAAAGAAGTGGGTCGGGACTCCGGCAGCAAAAAGCATCTGGGAAGCCCACTTCAACATCACTAGGGTGAAAACTAGTGATAAGGCCCTTGTTACTAGTAGCGATGCCAGGAGCTACTAGTAGCGTCCTTGCTCCTAGTAGCGATGCCCTTTGTTCCTAGTAGCTTCTGATTCCTAGTAGCAGTAAACACCGCGCACAGGGTCCCTCACCTGACCAATCTTCTTCAAAAGGAAGCTCGTCCTCCTCACATCGTTAGAGTCAGCACGACGGAGTCCAAGGGTCGTCTGTGTGGCTTCCCACAAGCGAGTGGAATGAAGTCCATCCAAAGCAAGGGCGACCCTCAAGTCACCCCAATAGGCTTTACAACCTCATTTAAAAATGCACCATGTGGTACCAGGTACCCTTGGTCATATTCCATTGATGCAACCGGTGAGTGGGGAAAGCTCTGTCTTCAGGAAGCTCCTGAGAGGAGGACTTTGCCGGCCGTCTGCTGCTTGGCCTTGGAAATACCAAAAATGCCCATCGCCTTCGGTAGTCCACACCGTTTGGTGCCCCAAAAAGGGAATGACCGTTGCAGACGCTTTGCGTCGTATCACAGCAAGAGTTTCTAGAGAGATAAGAAGAAAGCCACCCAGCTGATCAGAGGCAATAACAATCAATGTCTCTGAATACATCCACCCTGAAGTCCTGAAGAGAATCAGATCAGAACTGACACTTGTTTGCTGACTGCTCAGTCGCAAGCAAACGTAGTGCTCCTCACAAGGCTATCTGCAGACGGTTTCCACAGCAGAAAGACAGGAGAGAAGATTCTTCCAAGTGATTCAAGTCAGTCGCTTGAGGACCAATGCCTCACGCATCTCTAAATGAAGACCTCATGCTGCGATCCTTTTCACAAGCCTGTCACAACCCTGTCACAACTTCACAGCTTTGCCCAAACAAAGAGAAGGCCTTCACAGCTCTGTAGATGGAGTGATGACACTCTTGGGCAATGCTCCCCGGAGCTTGGAAAATAAGTCGATATACTGTGTATACATATATATATATATGTTTGTTTAATATACTCCGCCTTCCGCACCAACCATGTCTCCTAGCTTCCAACCAAGCTCACTAGCTTTGACCACTAGACTCCAACAGCTCACATGCCTTGACCAGGCCTCCACTGACAGCAGAACCTGCTGAGCCCAGAACAACCTGGGGCACCTGCAGGCCGCCCAAGGAGCGGAAGTCTTTGAGGCGTTTCAATCCCTTTGAGGAAAATACAAAGATTTTACGTAGAAAAAAGATAGAAGATTTGTACACTCCAGCACCTCCAAAAGCAGGATTTGTTGTAAATCCTGCTGTGGAAGAGTTGTTGAAACAAAAACAGGATTTGTTTGCGAAACACGTGGGTGTCCCTGAGCTCGACCGCTCAAGGCTGTCCCAGAGCGGCCTCCAGGGACAGGCATGACTTGCTGATGGTGAGCAAGGTCAAGAGGATCTTCATTGGCAGCAAAAGCCCGGAATTGATGCGAGTGTGTCCTCCTATTGGGCCAAGCTGTGTTCCAGACATCGTCATCGATGTCACCTAACGATCCAAGAGGCGAATTGAATGCAACACAGGTTGAACGGTTGAACTGGATCTTCGATATTCCAATTCAGCAGAGAGACTTTGATCAGAACCTGGGGTTGCTATACGGCTACTATTTTATGACCAAAACAATTAGCCACAACGGCTGCATTGCCATCAAAATGTAGCTGCTCCATGTATTGCCGGATGGGGTCAAAAGACGACAAGGTCACGTGCTTCTGGCAAGTTTCGACACATCTTTGAACGTCATAACTCATTAATGTCATGTTCATGCACCTCAAAATCACGCGACCTTGAAGTACCTAGTGACTCTGAGAGAGCATGATGTGGATGGGATAGGCCGATTGAAGGAAAAAGCCGGATCACTGATCACTCACCCTTTTTCGTTCGCCAAACCTCAAGATCACAACTTCCATGCTGCCCTCAGTTCAGAAGGATACCGTCGTACTTGGTCTGGAACCATTTCATGCCATCCTCCTTCTTCAGCTTGTGGGATGCGCCCACCTTGCCCACCTTCAACTTGCGGTTCTTCACTCGGCTGCCAGGGCGAGAAAGGTGCACGTAGAAATCCATGCCGTAGATGCCGGTGCCAGGGTCATACTTGATGCCCAGGTCAATGTGCTCCTAATCATGCCAAGTGTGCAGAACTTCAACCGGCAGTGATGCAAATCAAGAACAAATTAATCACATGCATTTATCTTCATCCAGAAACTTCTTGAAAACCATCGAAGGTTCAAGCAAATCTTGACCTAAGCGCTATGCTTCTGAGAGCTGTACTGGATTTAGTCCAAGCTTCGGTGATGCCAAAGCCAAAGCTGCCGTTCCTGGCGAAGTTCTTCTTTCGCAGCTCGTACTCTTTCACCTTCAAGCCCTTCTCCAGAATCTCCTAAAGATTGAGCAGTTTTGACAATTCACAAACACCTGTCCGTTTCTGCCGCTTCTGTCCAAGACAACTGCATCCCCTTCACTCCTCGGCCTTCTCTCCCCGAACTGTCACGTGGCAAGCAATCTTCTCATTGCGGCGGACGCTCCACTGACGAATGGTCATGCGGGCCTTCGAAAACACTGGCTGCTGCTCTGTCAGCTGCTCCTCAGTATCATTGTGTCATATTGCTTCTATAGTGCAATCAAAACAATGCATGGCAAACATGTCAAGCCTGTCGATCTAATATGCAGGAACACAGGAACAATCCATAGAACCCGTCTTTCCGACTCTGCTCTGCCAAGGATCTAAAACCTTTGCTGCTCGGGTGAGTCTGTCACCACTTTCACCCACACTGATGTTGAGCACCAACTTCTCCACCCGAATCTGGCGCATGGGGTTCCTCAGGCGATTTTTTCACCCAGTTCCACCCAGTCCACCGCGGTTCCAGATTCTTAGGAAGATTCTTAGGAAGCCCCTACCACGAACAATCCATCTCAGTTGGAAACAAGTCCGAGAATACGTCTGTCCAGTGTCCACGAATCCGTCTGCTCCCCCTCTTCGTGAAACGGGGCGAATCCGTCTGTCCCTCCAAGTTTCGGACATCTACATGTGCCATCATTGGGAGGTTCCTGAGGTTCCAGCATCCCCGATGGATCTCAGTCTTGCCTCCTGGATTCGTCCAAGGTCCGAAGATCAATGTCGTCCTTTGAGTCCTCTGTGGGTTTTCTGATTCCTGTGCTTTGTGATTCCCTCTATTCCTGGGTTTGAACATTCGGTGCTTCTTTCTTCATGGGATGCCTATCATCCTCAGATCTCCTCACACTTCAGATCGAACTCTTCCCCGAAACCTTCCATTCCCCTGAACTCATTTGCCCCCGAACTCGAGGAAAAGAAAAGAAAAAACGCCACCCGCCCAAACACCCCGCCAGGCGGCTCCGACTTGTCCGCCATGACCGGAAACCCGCTTCGTCCCCCCTTTCTTTCGGTCTCTTGAGGTCGCGATGTCCCGCTTTTGAGCCGAGAATGTTTTGTTGACGGAAACTGAAAGACCCAAAAGACCAGGGCCCAAGGGGGCCGGGACTGGACGGCCGATGGTTTTTGCTGAAACAAAGACATCCGGAGGTGACGAAATCGTCTGGCCGGCCGAATCCGAGATGAAATCTGTGTCCCAAGATGGATAAGGAGCCAGCCACTCAGTGTACAAGGGAGCCAAAATACTGTTTTGGCTTGGGTGATTTCCTTTGTTGAACATTCAAAGAACTGCATGATAAATAGACAAGAACATTTCTCTGCAGACAATGCCTGCAGTGGTGTATTGACCTTCTCATAAAGTACTTGCTCTCTGAAAGGAAGGTTGCTGCAATTAACACTACTTGCAAAAACTTGCACACACGGGACACACGGTGAATTTAGCTACTGAAGTCATGGAATCTATTTCAACTACACTTCCAAACCTAATTACATCAACGGCCAAACGATTGACTTGACAAATAACTGTGTTGATCGGAAATGAATGTCAGACCATTGCCAAGCTCCTGATCCACGGTCACATATCTCAATGTCTTTTCGTTCGCCAAACCTCAAGATCACAACTTCCATGCTGCCCTCAGTTCAGAAGGATACCGTCGTACTTGGTCTGGAACCATTTCATGCCATCCTCCTTCTTCAGCTTGTGGGATGCGCCCACCTTGCCCACCTTCAACTTGCGGTTCTTCACTCGGCTGCCAGGGCGAGAAAGGTGCACGTAGAAATCCATGCCGTAGATGCCGGTGCCAGGGTCATACTTGATGCCCAGGTCAATGTGCTCCTAATCATGCCAAGTGTGCAGAACTTCAACCGGCAGTGATGCAAATCAAGAACAAATTAATCACATGCATTTATCTTAATCCAGAAACTTCTTGAAAACCATCGAAGGTTCATGCAAATCTTGACCTAAGCGCTATGCTTCTGAGAGCTCTACTGGATTTGGTCCAAGCTTCGGTGATGCCAAAGCCAAAGCTGCCGTTCCTGGCGAAGTTCTTCTTTCGCAGCTCGTACTCTTTCACCTTCAAGCCCTTCTCCAGAATCTCCTAAAGATTGAGCAGTTTTGACAATTCACAAACACCCGTCCGTTTCTGCCGCTTCTGTCCAAGACAACTGCATCCCCTTCACTCCTCGGCCTTCTCTCCCCGAACTGTCACGTGGCAAGCAATCTTCTCATTGCGGCGGACGCTCCACTGACGAATGGTCATGCGGGCCTTCGAAAACACAGGCTGCTGCTCTGTCAGCTGCTCCTCAGTATCATTGTGTCATATTGCTTCTATAGTGCAATCAAAACAATGCATGGCAAACATGTCAAGCCTGTCGATCTAATATGCAGGAACACAGGAACAATCCATAGAACCCGTCTTTCCGACTCTGCTCTGCCAAGGATCTAAGACCTTTGCTGCTCGGGTGAGTCTGTCACCACTTTCACCCACACTGATGTTGAGCACCAACTTCTCCACCCGAATCTGGCGCATGGGGTTCCTGGAAACTGCATTGCATGAAGGCAATAAAATCGCAAAGGTAAAACACTGTTCATTGCCAATTGAGGTGATTGTTGAGAACTCTCAAGCAGTCGATAACATAACTGCAAGTCAATAAGCAACGCCTATATCCACCAGTACAGAAATAGGAACCATCAAACTCTTTGAGCGAACGCCCCTGCACTGTTCCGGTCTGCTGGTTTGGTGAGGGGTTGTTTTTATTTGTAGCCAGGTTTCTCGGACTTGTCCGCCATGTTGAAGGGCCACGTCCCACCGTGCGGTTTGAGGGTGCGAATCCCGCTTGATCCCAGGCCGCAACGAATGGAAGATGCTAAAAAACGCAGCTCCAGGTTCGGCAATTGAAGCTTGAAAACCTGAGGGAGTTTCGGCCGGAGAATACACTCTTTTGCATGGACTCCGAACAGGATGGTGCAACCCACGAATGTCAGTGAAGTCTACAAAGGGCGACTGACGTGCCAAAAGCACACCAATCAACAGCCACTCGTGGAAAAACCCAGCACTGCTGACTGGGCCACGCGAGAGGCAAAAACCCAAAACCCGCCGACACCAGCACGTGAGCAGGGTAAGAACCACTTTGGGCGAGTAATCTTAGGAAAATGGAAAGCAGAATTCCTTAAAAGGAATGTCTACCACAAAGGAGTCAAAAGGGGAGAAAGAAAGAAAGAACCTCCGGCTCAACTGGAAGAGTCGGCAAGCTCTGTTCTCCGGCGGAGAACTGCGCGCGCCCTGTGGCTACGGATGACAACGGACAGTTCTTGCAGGAGGTCTGCATGGAGGGCAGCAGCATCCTCCCCAGCTTGAGCTGCCGTGCTCGGGGAAAGTTGCAGGAGCAGTTTGCTGGCTTCGGGCTCCCAGGCGCCCGTTGACTCGGCCACAACCGGCATGAAGTGGACCCCTTGCTGTGCGCAAAGAGTGGCTGTGTTCAGGTGGGAGGCCTTCGTGGCAGCACAGCTGGTTGCCGCTGCCAAGGATGTTGCTCCAGCCAGCGCTACGATGTCTTGCCGCTGTGGGGCTGTGATGGCCAGGTCAAGTGCAGCAGGAACACCGTTGAAGCTGGGTAGGAAAATATCCGCTGGGCGGCGATGTTGGTTTGCAACCTCTTCTGGTCGCTGAGCAGCAGCCCGCGCGCTCTTTCTCGGTTGCTTCCAGGACCGCCAGTCGGTGGCGTAGCTCGGCCACAAAAAGGGCACTGTCCATCTGAGTCGGCCCTCCAGGTCTTGCAGCAAGGAATGCGCGGGCTCCAGGTTCAGCTTCGGACCGGAGAAGGGCTTGGGCAGTTGGGGCTGAGGCTCCGAGTTGTGCCTGCCACGATGCCTCATCTACCAAGTGCGTCAAACTCTTCTGCTGCATGCTAAGGGCAGCTCCAGGGGCCAGAGGGTGCTGCACATGCACGTTGAAGAAAGCCATTGCCTGTGCAACGGCCGACTCCAGGACCACGGCAGCGGCTAGGTAACCCGGGTCCAGTTGCTCACAAGCAAGGGCTGTGCTTCCTTCGGAAGCGAGGAAGGCAGCCGGACTGTCCAAGGTCGCGCTGCGAAGAGCCCCCGGCTAGCTTGTTCACGTTGGGCGGAGTTCAGATGCAAGCCGGTGATGCTGGAGAACGCCGCGTGAACCATGGAATTGTGAAAACACGGAAGCGTAAGCGTCCCCTTTTTGATCCCGCTCCTTGAGCCAAACATCACAGTCGGTTTGACTGTATCAATGTCCTTCATCTCTTCTTCTGAAGAGGTCTGACTGGTCGCAGTCGTCCAAAACATATTAAAGAACAAGAAAGCATATCAAAACACTCTCACAAGCTATTCTCTACTATACACAGCTCTACCCGAGCTCCACAGATCTCTACACGACCGACGAGATTCTCGCAATCGACCTCGTTCTCCACCACGGACCCGCTCCAGACAAAGCAGGGCAATTCGGACACCACGTTCCACCGACCAACACACACCACCCAACTCTACACGGCCCAACTCGGATCGAGCCTCCTCTGCAGCCCCGGCACTCGTTCTTCGCCCCGGTCCTGGCGATTTTCCACATTCACTTCCCACACCCCCGGACTCCTCCACACCCATCTCACGCCCTACCACACCCCCACAACCTTTTCAACAATCCCCTCCACCGTCCCAGCCACCATCCTCCTCACTTTCCAATCCTGAAGCTGAAGAACTTCGTCAACTACGTTATCAAATCCAACAACAGGCAGCTCAACACCAACTCCAACAACATGCAATTTCAGCAGCAACTTCTCCTCCACTCTCAATGGGCACCCTTTCTCCAACCTTTCCCCTTCTACATTCCACAATTCGACCCCTCCACCCAGACCTTCACCACTCCCACACCATCTTGACTGGAGACCACTACCTTGAGTGCCAATCCAACCGCGCCCACTGAGCCGCCCAACCCCTCCCCACGTACAACCACTGCGGAACCAGACGACTTCTCCATATCTCTTTTCGCCACCACAACCATCCACCAACACCACCAACCCCGCTCCTGAAGCTTCAGACCCTCGCACCTCACGGCGCACAGAACGACCCATCACCCCTCCAACTTGCGGGCTTCGCTGGAAAGATCACACCACACTGCCACACCGTTTGGAACAATCTGGTCTTTTGGTGTATTTGATGGGCAATTTGGCCGAGATCCGCCTCAGTCCTGGTCCTCAGCAGCACATTTGGACCACACCTCTCTGGTTTCACATTCGCCCTATTGGTACTCTCGACCTTTCAGCGGTTGCAGTGAGAGCAGCTTCCACCAGAGCCCCACTGAGGAAAGCTTTGAAGGCTGTGAGCTGGAAGGAGGCGGGCTGCCTTCAGCACTTCTTGTGTGCGTTGGTACATCAGAGTTGCCTTGCCTAACCCTAGGGATTCCCATTTCTGACAAGGGTCTTGCGTGAACGAGAATAGGGTGGCAACCTCGTGCACGCCCGTAGTGCATCCTGAGGCCACAGCAAAACTCTTATCCAAAACAACGTCTGCTGGGAGAGCGATGGTCCATAGACTTGACTGTCTCCGACTGGTGGGCATGTGCAGTGAGTGCGGTGGAATGTCACCCTCCAGCGCCCCGCCCCGAGGCCTCCACAATTGATTTGGAAGACTGAGGGCAGTGGTGGG